ATTTGCAATAAGAAAATTAATATTAACACTAAAAAAAAGTCCGAGTTTTAAGCTATAAAATCCGGGGTTTTAGAGCTCACAGTCCTAGATTAATAATTTTACAGATGGCAGCCCTAACCCCGCCGCGCATAATAAAAGGCGCGGATGAGACCGTTTGACGTGGCTCCGTCACTCGTCCTCCCCCCTTCCCCCCGTCTCGAAATTCGTCTCGTCAGTCGTCGATCGACCGATCGCGTTCATCGCATTATTATTAACATGCCGTGCGCTGCGTCCAATCCTTACCTCTTCTTCTTGTTACGCGCGAGTCGCGTCTCTTCCGGGAAATGAAGCCCCTGCTCCTTATCGCCGAGGTCGTGTAAACAAAGCGAGTGAATACGGCGGCTTCGTTTTGAACCGGCGCCGCGGCGCGATGCCTTTGACTTTTTTTCCATACTTTTTTTTTTCTACCGTGCGCAGCGAAATACTTCCAACTCGCCGCCGTCGCCGGCTAAGCACGAGAAAGAGAGAGAGAAAGTCATCCCCCCTCTCTACGACGCAAACTTGAGCATCTTCGTAACCGTGCCGGCCTGTCCTGTGTGTCCTCGACAGCCAATAGCGCCGACAGTCGCACGCAGTAACTCTGTGCGTCGTGGTCAGTGTCTCAGTACGCTCAGTACTGTCAGTAGTGTTCGATACTTTGAGGACGTGACACGTGCGATTCTCGAGAGCTCATGCGAAGCTACTTGCGACGAATCTGCTACGGATTCTCACACAGTTCGTCCGGCGGATCATGTGCGGCATGTTACCGATGTTGGAGAAAAATTCTCTGTTTCCGTTCAACCCCAGTCTGAATGATGAGATTCAGCGGCTGTTCGACGTCACCCTCAACAAAAGGCCACTGCCGACAGGTATGTTACGCGCATCCCTTTCCCCGTCGAATTCGTTCGGATTTACAAGTGTATTTACGCCGAGGAACCGCGCTGCGTCTACGGGATAGCATCGGTATTTGTCGAGTTTGTGGATTAACGTCGTCCAAAAATTCGTTCTGTCACTTCAGAATGGTAATTAATATTCTTTCAGTTCACAGTTTGCTCTAATTACTAATTTACTGCTGATTTTGTGTTTCTGTGAATATTCTTCGCGTTTCGTTTTTTTTTTTATTATAAACAAGTTAACTTAGTTGACTTACGATTAGTCAAACTACGCATACTTTTCTAATCAAATATATCTTAAATATATTATTTTGTTTTAAATATAGAAATGTAAAGAAAACGCAGAGACAGAAAACATGTTTGTATGTACGTTAGAAAGGGAAGGATTTTAGAATCTTCCGACGGAAAAATATAGTCTGAAGTGTTTAAAACCGTTTCGGGTATCGAGGATGTTAGAAATTCAAAGAGGAAATTGTGCGTCGCAAATCGGTTCTGTGGCGCTATTCTTTTCCCTTGTGTGCAGAAGCACGTAACTCTTAAATCCTTCGAAGTGTCGAACAATACGTCCATTCTTGAAAATTTCCGTTATCGACCGGAAATCTTTTGTTCTTATTATTCGAGAACGTATGCTGTACAAAAAAATTATCAAGGCATTCTGTCATTAAAATTTCTTAAAAGTCATTCTTAAAAGATTAGAAAAAAAAAACGAACTTAAACATGATTTTGGCAAACCTACAAGAAACAATCTGAGCATATCGAGAATGTTTTCGAGAACTTTTCCTTTTTCTAAGTATCGTGTAGTGAATGATAAAGTTGTCGCGTACAATTAAAATTGTATAAATAATATAGTTAAATTTTTCTCATATAAAAATCGGATATATGTTATATGAATTAAATTTTTTGTATCGTATAATATAGTAATGTATAACAATAAATCCTTTTATTACTTTCTTCCTTTATAACTGATTCTATCATTAGAATATTTATCATTTAACTTATTGATCCAATCACATCGGCGTATCGTCGCTTTCACGGAGATTTGAATGCGCGTTGCTTGTATCACGAAATGTTCGTTAAAGAAACGTTATATTGACGCGATAAGATGAATCATAACAAACGTAAGATCGTATATATTAGTTACTCTGCTATATATTTCCGTTATCGATTTATATTTGACTCGTTAATGTCGATATACATTTTCCGGGGATTTTTGTTTTTAATGCGCAATTAAGATTTTCCCGGTGCCCTTTACACTTGACTTGCGTCAAAAAACCAATACACTCGGTTGCAAGAAGAAAACCATGTTTATTCGTTTGCCGGTTTGTTTTCTCGCAATTACCGGTCCCATCTTGTCGCCCGTAATCTCTCGCATCTCGCACGTGTGCATCCCTCCACATATCTCCCGTCACATCGGCCGTGAAGACACTGCGGGGAGCGCATTTTATCGCCGAAGAGACAAAAGCCTATTGAGGTTCTTGGATATGTTTATTTTACGATTCCGATTCCCGGACGACGACGATAATCCTGTCCCGATAAACACTCGAAGCCGCCGAGCTCGAAAACGGCCGTGCGTGTTTACAAACCATGATTTGTCGAATTTTACGTTCGCCTCTACATGCATCATAATTTCGATACTTTGAAGGCAAAAATATGAAACATTTGATGTGACGAGATTGCAATCTTATATAAATCTCGTCATCCGATTTACTGCGTTTAGTTTTAATTTTTTTTCTTACAACTGCAGGAAAAAAAATTTTTTCCTCTTTTATATTCAATAAAATTTTTTGAACGATCTCGTTTATGCTTTATCGCAGTTGAGGAGGTGATGGAAGAGTTTCGACATAATGGTCGCGACTTCGAATATTGCCCGGATGTGGACACAGACGTATCAAAACAGAACGCATCACGGCGAAAGAAAAATAAAAAGCCCTTGCCAACGGAGTGCGTGTTTTGCAGAAATAATGGGGAAGAGGAGGCGTACTATCGGCAGCACTTATTAAAAGACGTCGAAGGACGTGTTGAGTGTCCTGTTCTCAGGTAAGTATTAATAAAGATCTAATTCCGTTTTTCTTAGTCATCAAAAATAGACGTCTCAAATATTTTTGAATTTTCTTGAATATCTCCTGTAGAGGATACTTTTAATCTTTAGCTTGATTTTTTTTCTATAAAATTTTTTTCAATTCTACGCAATTTTATTTTTAAATAAACATTCTGTAGATACCTCTTAGATATTTTCTGTAAGCACTAGATGACACTCCTACATATTTTAGTAGAAAACAAATTAATTTACAGAAAATAAATTAATGTGAAGATATCTTTTTTATTTTGGTTTTTCTGTTTTACCAAGTCATTCGTAAATCTCACTGGGCTACAATATGTATTTTACAAGTTAGTATAATATATGGGCCCTGCAGCTTTGTTAGTGTAGACCTTGTAGAACCTTCAGAATGGTCCCTGCATCCATAATTAAGTCGTGCAAAATAGCACAGGTTATGCACCATGCAGTGCACCATAGGCGTGTCAAGTATAAATATACAGAAAGAAAAAAAAACTTTTCAGTTATCTTTTTTTTTACCTAAATTTTGATCAATCATATGCTGGGTTTTTTTTGCATAATTTTCATTCTGCGATAATTTTTCTTATCCATAACATCTAAATAATTCGAACCTGAATTTTATGTAAAATAACGTGCTATTATGTTACGAGAATGCAATAATGATACTGATATGATAATTGAAATAGTTATCGTACTTAAACAAGAATAACATCCAAAAAATCACGTATAAAAAGATAGTCTAAAATATAAAAAAAATTATTTTCTAAGTAATCTTATATAATAATCATATTCTTAATACGATTTTATTTAATCGAAGAAATAAAAACAAACAAAATCTGCGTTGTCTTAAAAATAATCTAGTTTTCTTTTTATGATGCTTAAAGTCTTCAATTTCGTGCAACATGATATGAAGAAAATTGGTTTCTTCTCTTTTCTTTTTAATATTTTGTATTCATGTGGAAAATGATATATGGATATTTTTGATCGGTAGGGCTTATACATGTCCAATTTGTGGCGCAACCGGTGACATGGCACACACGGTTAAATACTGTCCAAAGGGTCCGTACAATCCCAATACTATAAGCACAACGAACGTCTACAAGTACTCGAAGAACTCCACAGGCAAACGTCGCAAGTAAGACATTTTTGACATTTTCCACGCAGGTGTGGAACATTTTTTTTCTTTAGAAATAACAGTAATATTTTCTTTAAAAATAATAGTAATAATTTTTTAAATTTATGAGAGAATATATAAATACACGCGAGTGCATTTCAGCTGTTGGTACAAATAAATAATGTACAAATAATTCTAAATGAAATTATAGTAAACAAATTGTAAATGATTAATGAACAAATTGTAAATAAATAGAAAATGTTCCAATAAATTAAAAATTAATGTAAGTTTCATAGATTAGGAAATTATAACAATCCTACTGAAATTAAACTTCTCCCTTTTTATATTTATTTTATTAGAATTTTCATATATTATATATTATCTTTTACATTATTTTTTTAAATATATTAAAATTTATTATATAATAGAATGTATTTTATATCGCATTGAATTGGTTTATCTTAAGCCATATTATTTCTTTCTCTTTGCTATTACGTGAAATCATAAAAAAGCACGTTCGAATAATGAGAATTACTGTTCTAAAATAAATACAATTTAATAAACGCTGTAATAAAATTTGGAAAATAACTTTTACGTTTTCTAATATACATATAAAAGAGAATTAAAAAGAATATTTGTAGAAGAAAAAATGAGTCATTAATAACGTCGACAAATTGAAAATTACAAAATTAAAAACGAATAAAATCGTCTGGCGACCTACTCCCGCGTTAATAGACTTTTTCTGTCATGTATTTTTGAAAAAAATATTAGCTCAACTAGTGTGAGGAAAGAAATGTTATATTTCAAGTTAATATTAACAAAAATATATAAAAACAATCTATATAGAATCTATATAGTACAAAACTATATCTATATAGTACAAAAAAGGAAGAGAATAATTTTTTTAAGTCATTTTATGAACATTGTTAATTAGTAAATATTATTTTAAAAATTTGTGCGATACATTTTTTTCCTCTCTTAATATACACTTCCGTTGTCTCTGTCTGTCTCTGTCTCGCTTAACAAATAAATCTTGAATAGTAACAATATCTTCTAAAGTGAGATTTTTTAATAGGTAGGAGTAAGAAGCAACGCAAGCAAGCACCTTTCGAGCGCACCATATCGATATCAACTGTTGACAGAGGCTATCCCCGCAATACGTCCAAGTGCCAACGAGACAATCTAGTTCCCTAGGTTATTGTACAATGTTCCTCTTTTCGTACTTAACATTTACACTGGTCTGTAAACGTGAAGACTGAGAGCCGACGTGATCTCGCACCCTCAGCAAATACGCCCTAAATACCGGTCCTAAATCGAGATCGAAACTTGAATTTTCCGCCGACACCTCTCGCATTCTTTTATTTTAATATCTGTTTTTAACTTAATTTTTATATCTTTAACATAGTTATATCTATGAAACAATCTTCTACCTCTTGCATTTTTCTTACTTTTAATCTAATTCATAATGCGTCGGAAATCCATATTGATAAAATGAACGTTCATTTCGAACGAAAGCTGGTTTGTGCGTATTTCGAGAGTCGCACGATTGAGTCGATTCAGCGACACGTTATGTTTATCATACATTGTATGGTCATTGCGACACGTCTTTAATTGAGTTAATTGTAATTTTTGTTTACGAAAACAAATAAATATCTTGGGAACACTATTGCCTCTTGAGGCCGAGGAGGCAATAGTTTTTCCAAAATATTTGATATGTTTCTTGATTACAAAAGGCCGAGTGTTTTCTAAAATTATAGAAAAAGTGGCATATTTCGAGAGATAGATAATACCTTCATGATTTCTTAGACATCAAGACTACTTTCTGAAAATCAAGCATAAAAAAGCAACGCATGAATATAAAAGAAAAAGAGGAAAATCCAATTCGACAGATCCATTTACAAATCTGATGAATTATGAATTGACTTCGTTTTTTTTTTTCACTTATCGATTGAACTTGTTTTAAAAATCTCTTGGAATGCGGTCTTGATATCTAAAAAATCATGAAAGTGTTATCTATCTCTCGAAATATGCCGCTTTTTCTATAATTTTAGAAAACACTCGGCCTTTCGTAATCAAGATTTATATTTGAAATGGACTTTGCGAGTTACAATTTGAAAATTTATTTCCTCGTAGCGTAAAGTCAACACCAAACTTTTGCAATCAGGACGCACGCATCTTTATTTTTATTTATTTTTATTTATTTTTCATTTTAACGTTCAACAGAACGTTTCGACAATTATGTGATTTACGTCAAGATTGCATCTTACTTCGCGCAATTGTTAATGAAATTATTAATTTTCAAAATATATATATATATATACATATATTATTATATTCAAATAAGAGTTGTGATGATAACATGTGCCTTAACGTGCTGAAATGTTTAGTTTTTTATATTTTATGATGTACGATATATGAGATATAGTTTATGATATAGATATACATATAGATAAGTGTTGTCGGGGAAAAAATACGTTGTGTGTTTTCCACGAACTGTCAAATTCGCGAAGCGAAAGCCAGCTATGTGTACAAACACGAAGAAGAAGCGTGGGTCTTAGCAGCTGCTTTTGTTTTCAACAGCCTTGACAATATCGTGATGAAACTGACAGTGGCAACATCTCGTATCTAATATCCCCTCTAAATGGCCTACGATATACAGAATTGACGGATAAAAGTGAGGTATTAGACTTGAGGTAACTAAATTTAAAATCTGTGTAACTTTTGCGACAGATATTAAATATGTGCGCATAATTATCTCTCGTACATTGATATAACACTTTATCCGTCAATTCTGTATATTCTATGCGCTTTATTAATACGCTATTTAGAGGGAACATTAGATACGAGATGTTGTCGCTGTCGGTTTCATCACGATATTGTCAAGGCCGTCGAAACAAGAGCTGCTGCTAAGATCGCGCTTCTTCGTGTTTGTACACACAGCTGGCTTTCGCTTCGCGGACTTGACAGTCCGTGAAAAACGCACGTTTTTTCCCACTCGCGACGCTTCTTCCTGGTGTTCCTCAAGATTCACTAAAGGACACGGTTCGCTTATATATTGTTATCCATTGTAACGATATAAAAATAATATTGTAAATAAAACTGAAATATTCATCTCACTGTCTTTTTGTGATACTCAAGGATAACTTAATTTAGCGTTGTACATACTGATTCAATTCCTCGATAAAGATTAAAGATAAAGGAGACTAATGTTTAAATAACTTCTGTAAATTTGTTTGCGACATTTAACAGATTACATCACGAGTAATTATTAAATCACACTTTGAGACATTTCAGTTTTCTCTTAAAATTAATTTTAAGTATGAATAAAGAATGCACAAGATTAATTCCGAATAGGCGGAAATATAATACGGCGAAAGGGATTGAGAGATACAAAGAAAATAAAAATCCGAAAGGTTTCATCGAGTTATACATTCACGCGATTTTTTTGGGGATAAGTACGATGAAACTTTCTTGGGTTTTGCGTAAAATCTATAATCGACGGATTCAATACCTCGTAGGCGGGAACGCGTAAATTGGGTGAACCTCGATCGACATCGGAAGCGGTAAATTGCGACAAAATAAATGTACAATTTTGTAAAACGTACATCTACACAAGCTAGATTTTACCTTGAATTTGTTCAAATTGAAATTTTTCCCCTTTTTTCTTACATATGTTAGAATATATGATATCTAGTTCTTACGTGCTCTTAAACCGTTATCATCTACTGCTGTGCTCTTAATCGCGAGTGCTACTGCACAGAAATTGATTTTGAGAGAGAAATTAAATGTTTTAAAGATCGTGTGATTTATATAATTACTCGTGATGTAAATAACGATTGTGTTAAATGTGTTAAATGTCAAACAAATGCAATTGCCGCAAATAAATTTGCGGAAGTTATTTAAACATTAGCCTCTTTAATCTTCATCTTTGAGTATAATAAAAAGACAGTGCGATGAATATCTCAATTTTGTATCGCCATTTTTGCGGGAGTATTAGAAGTAGTGTATAAAAATATTACAAAATGTTCCTACTAGAAATTAAGATTTATATAGAGTGCCAAGTGTTACATTTCTAAAATGTTAGAGCCTAGTATTGTTCTAACTTGTATTATGAGGCCTACTACTATTTAATAGTGCGATTAAGTGCTTACTTTTGTAAGATGCGCGTCTCGTACCTTATATATGGCCGAAGTTTAGAATTACGCCGTTCCTACACGGTGCCGTCATAATACACCGGACTGATTCATAGTGAGGCGCGAGATGACGTTACACGGTAATCCGAGACCGTGCAGTAGCACTCGCGATTAAGAGCAGCAGCAGGTGATAACGGTTTAGGAGCACGTAAAAACAAGATTTCATATTGTAACGTGGGCAAAAATTCGAAGAGAGAGGAAATGAGAAAAATTTTATTTTGAACAGATCCGGTAAAATCTAGAGTGTCTAGTTGCACTTTTGACAAAATTGTATAAATATTTATTTTGCCGAATTTTGCCGCATTTATTTTGCCGCCTCCGATGTCGATCGAGGTTCACCCAACTTAAGCGTTCCCGCCTACGAGTGTTAGAATTCGCCAATTATAAATTTTACGCAGAACCCAAGAAAGCTTCATTGTACTTATAAAAAAAAATCGCGCGAATGTATAACTCAATGAATGACCTTTCGGATTTTTATTCTCTTTGTATCTCTCATTCCTCTTCGCCGTATTATATTTCCGCCTATTCGGAATTAATCTTGTTGCAGTCTGGACTCGCCTTTTTTGTAGTCATTTGTATTTTAACATTATATTTTTGCACATATTGTCATAATAATCATCTTGCGATTCCAAATATTTGTACCAAGGATAATTATTATTACTTCCGCCATATATTAATATATTATTTAACTGATTTGTACAAAATATTATGTTTAATTATGATTCATAGAATATATGTATTTGAATGAAAGGTGTGTTTTTCTCACAATGATATATCGCTCTTTATTAAATTTCATTCAATAGTAACGTGTTATGTAACAATAGAATTTATCAAGGTAATCTAGTGTATCAATCTAGTGTAATACTTTCTGCACCCTTATACACAGATTGAAAAATCATTACGTATTGCGTGACTATATCTTTTGTGGTATCTGTATAATTGCGCACATAGATCAGTTTGATAATTCATTTGGCGGTGACCTATTTTTTTTTACATTGTTTTATTATTTTTGAATCAAAGATTTAAAAATTTACTGTGAATTAATTGGCATTCAACATTAAAGTGAATTATTATATCATAATTGTTACATTTTTTTATCAAGTTCAATATTCACTATCTCACTAAAATTTAATAACTGTATTACTTAAAGATGTAGTTAGAGCAGTCTAAAATTCTATATATATTTTAACTTGCAAGGATGTTACGCTATTTTTGATGTCGGCTATCGACTAAGTAGGTCATATCCTTTGTATTTCATCAGTTGAACGAATCGTCCTTCACACATCACACACATACACGCACACGGCAGAATTATAATTAGATTATTTAAACGTAAAATTATCAATTTTAATATTGCATTGTTTATTTCAAATGTCTGCTATCGGATAAATTCATTTGTATTCATTTAATCGATCAATTTTTGTTTCAAAAATATAAAAATATAATTGTGCAATTACAATTATATTTTTAAACAATTTTTATATTTTATTTTATATGAAAAAAAATTATTAATGTCATCAGTGAACAGTTATTATTAATATATCGTCGATTGAATTTGTTTTTATTGTATGTATAGCGGACGTTTTGCAATTTTTATATATCTAATTATCTAAATATTTTATTTTTTAATGCAAATCCCTGCCTTTTATATTTTTAAACACATTCCATAACGCGTCGCTATTTTAGCTTCGAAAATCGGTCGTTGTGACAAAAGGTAATATACGCTATTAGCTTCATATCTGCATCTGAACGTTCTCCATAAACCCGGGAAACACTAGCACATCCTGTATACATAAACGCGCACTCGTGTTAAAAAATCGTTCAATAGACAGCGTGCCACCGGTAACGACACGTCGTCATGTCGCGATTTTACGTATTGCTAAGAGCTGTTATCGTGACGGTGATCAGCGTCGCGATTACTTCAGAAAGGGTGAATCAAAGGCTCGATCAGGTCGAAAGACCGGTCGTGATTCGAAGGGACACAGTCTCCCTTCTAAATCGGAACGTACCGTTTACCGATTCATCGTCTGTATTTTTGCATCTACTCAAGTGCAAACCGAAGTATCAGTATCAGAAGCTAGATCAGATCAATCCTACTATCGCTACTACTACTACTACTACTACTGTAGCTACTACTACTACTACTGTTCCTGCTACTACTACTACTACTGCTGCCACTACTTCTACCACCGCTAGAACTTGCATCTGCGTACCTTTCTATCTATGCGACAGTAATCAGACTATCATCACCGATGGATTCGGAGTAATCGACGTGCGGGCAATGTGAGTTAATCATCAAAGTCTGATAATCAATATTACTCTCTTATCGGTAATTATTTGTCCACTTTGACTGCTAAGCTTGTTAGACTTATATGCCTTTATTATTTTAATTTTATTTAATTTTATCTAATTTTTATTTGATATGACCATATTGATTTTTAATTTTTTAAATTTAATTTAATTCTAAATTCTTTAAGATTAATTTTTTATTTTTTCTTTAAAATTATACACTTTAAGTGCTATATTTAATTCGCCATTATTAAATAATTTTAAATTAAAGCAACGTTATTAGGCTCAATAAATTAAAAATTAATACATTAAACAATCAAAGTCAAATGCCAAGAGCTGGGCGTTGGTAGCAAAGATCAATATATATTTTGAAAAGGATCCAAACGTTTCGGCTAACATTAAGCTATCCTCAGTATATCATTACAATTTAAATATTTAATATAAAATCACAAATTTCATAACATATTTAAGCAGATTTTTTCGATATTCGTCATACATTGCCATTAATATAAGAATAAAAACATATTTACTAAATGTTTATTTTTATATTAATTGCGATGTATGACGAATATCAGAAATATCTGCGTAAACATGTTTTAAAATTTGTGATTTTATATTAAATATTTAAATTGTAATGATCTACGAAGGATGGCTTAATGTAAGCCGAAACGTTTGGATCCTTCTCGAAATATATATTGTTCTTTGCTACCAACCATCCAGCTTTTGGCTCATTTGCCCTTCATTGTTTAATGTGTTAATAAATAATTTTAAGTTAGTTGATAAAATAAATTCTCTGAAATCTTTAGTTATAGAGAATTAACATAATTGTGTGCAGTTCTCGGCCGTGTACCGGGGATTTGGAGGTCTGCTGCTATCCGCGAAATGTCACAGTAGCTCCTACGATGCCTACAGTAACAATACCAACTATACCTACAATACCAACTATATCTACAATACCAACTATACCTACAATACCAACTATACCTACACTTCCAACTATACCTACACTTCCAACTATACCTACAATACCAACTATACCTACAATACCTTCAATAACATTTTCAACTGCACCACCAACAACACCTCCTCCAACTGTTCCAACTATAGCACCAACTACAGCACCAACTACGGCACCAACAACAATATTTCCGAACTGCATCTGCGTACTGATATCGCAATGCGCTCCTAATGGAATAGTCACCATCTCTGGCGAGGGTGTAATAGATCCGCGGTACGGACTGTGCCCCGGCAACCTGATCTGCTGCAGGATATTGGTGAATACGATGCAGCCACCGACGAGCTCTGCGACTACGGTGACCACGATACCACCCACAGTTACGACCGTACCATCTAGGCAGACGCAACTGTGCTTTGTATGCGGCAACGTCACTGTATGTTACACCTGCATGGTCATCATGATGCCCGGCGGTGGTACCATGATAGACCCCAGATTCTCTGAGGTCTTGTCACAGGGAAATATCTGCACGGCGACGAACATACCGTCCTGCAGTCTGAGCACGTCGCCACGCGCGTCGATTACGGATCTGGGCCCGTTGAAAAATCCGGGTACGTCGCAGGAGTGTTACTGCATAAAGACCTGGCTGTGTTCTGAAGGGAACGCGGTCAGTCCGGACGGTCTCGGTATAATTGATTCGCGATTCACGTTGTGCTTGGCGGCGGACGAAGTGTGCTGTCGGCGCACAGGTATCAATCTTCAGGGCAACCCCGGCACCTCATCTCGAGAGCTATTGAACGGACTACCCAATCGCTCGACTTCGCAAAATGCTTGTGGTATACCGAACAATAGTTATGCGCCGCGTAAGTATAAACTGTATAGTTGTTATATTTGTTAACGATATAGCGCGACTATGTCTAGGTGAAATATAAAAATTTAGTATATTTAAGCCGTACTGTAGGCCATTGTTCGAATAATGATAGCAATCGCTTACAGCGCAACCTTTTCCCCCTGATTCCGGGAAAACCTATTTCGCTGAATTTCCATGGATGGTCGCGCTTCTCCAAAAGTCCGCGACCGGCGGTTCTTACATTTTCCAATGCGGTGCTTCGATGGTCAGTAACGGGGCCGTCCTCACTGCCGCTCATTGCGTTGTAAAGTACGTGTAAGCAAAAGACGTAAGAAACGTCTAAAACTCGACTTTTCAAAACGTCTCTTGCAATTTTGTTCTAATATGTTTATTTTTTTTTCATCTTAATTTCTCGATAGTCAAAATCCCGAGAATTTGATCGCACGCTTCGGACAGTGGAACCTAGAAAATAATGTTCAGCCGTTGCCTATTCAAGAAGCGAAGATCCTGACAATAGCTGTACATCCGTTGTATTATAGCGGCGGGCTTTTCCACGATGTAGCTGTCCTCGTTTTGGCAGAACCAGTCACTTACAGTGCGAACGTCATGCCGATTTGCCTTCCCGAACAAGGCACAGTTTTCGCGGCTGGGACCAGATGCTACGGGACAGGATGGGGCAGCAATTCGTTCAATGAGCCTCGAAGTGAGCTCACGGACTTTCCTAATTTACTATTTCTTTAGTTTATCAAAATCGGCGTTCGTTCACAATCACGTTTTAGGACCGGAAGGGGAATATCAAGCCGAGCTTCGAAAGGTGAATCTTCCTATCGTCGATCGAAACGATTGTCAGACGCGTTTACGAAGCACGAAATTGGGCTTGTACTTTGAACTGCACGGATCGTTTATCTGCGCCGGCGGCGAAACGAATAGAGACACGTGCCGTGGCGACGGCGGTGGACCGTTGGTTTGTCAAGCCTCGACGGGGCAATTCTTTCAGGTGAACTAGATTATAATAAAAATATTTCCTATATGCTAGAAAGAACAGTGAGCAAAGCACAATTGACAAAACTTAATGCTTTCTTTCTAATTCTTCCAATATTTCCCTTTGTTTTAAACAATCCGCGTGACTACGTCCTCATACACATTATATTCTTTTAATCAGTAATATTTTCTGAGCGTTTTTAAATTCTTATTTATATATCTGTACAATATCTATTAATTTTATTTGCTATTTTAATTGAAACGCAGTTACTAAATTGAGTCAAGCTTGTAGGTGTTTTTATATTGAACAAAAAAGACTTGAATATATTCTTATTTCAGGCTGGCATCGTTTCGTGGGGTATTGGTTGCGGAGCTTCTAATGTGCCAGCAGTGTACGCCAGCGTATCACAACATCGTCAATGGATAGATCAACAATTCGCGACTTACGGCGTATAGTGACATATGTTATAGTTTAATATTTCTAATTTTATTAGATATATATTTCTAATATATTTTTAATTCTCCAACGACTGCGAACTGCCCTTTATGAACGCTAATATCATTCGTATAACTTATTAAATTATTATAATTAATAATAATAAAATATGATAAGTATTTTAATCTCATATACTTTATTCTGCGTTATTTATGTATCTTAGTTTGCTCAAGCAATTTGTATTTCGTTAAGTCTTCTCGTCATACAGTGAGGTAATAAATGCGATTGAGATTGCATAAACGCAATCCGAGAACGAATATCTGAATATATTTGTTTCAGCTAGTATCGATACTTGTTTAACACACAAACCTTATCGCGGCACGATGAGCGTGGGAAAGACTCGTAGGTCAAGCGCATCGTTGTCCTAGTTTCGAAGCAAATATTTCTCGTACATATTTCGAATTATAAAACATTCAAAAATTATTCGCTATGAAGTTGAACACGATTTTGCATAATATACCGAGCCTAATCAGCAAACACGTCCTTAGGGAAGCTGCGCCCTAGGGAAATGCAAATCTCTCTGAAATGTAACAAACGTTTCGAGCTTGCGCGACTTATCTGAATGTGAATAGAAATTTTGCAAAAAAGACTTCCACCGTGATAATGTTATACACATTGCCGTGACCAGGATTCGAACCTGGGTTACTACGGCCACAACGTAGGGTCCTAACCACTAGACGATCACGGCTACTGGAAGAATTGAGTAAAGATTCGGAAACTGAGCACAATGTTCGCGCTGGTAAATAGAAAAATTTCAAGTAATAAAATATCTATATACTTTGATTGAGGGGATTAATAAACAATACTTATTACAGCGATTATTTGTAACAAGATAATTGTGTATAGTGAGAATAGTTATAAAATTTTGCAAAAGCTTTGCAAAATTATATATTTTTGTTATATAATATATATAATACATTAAATATTTTTTATCTCTGTAATTCTTTATATCATATATTCGACATTCCAGTTTAAGAAATTCTAGAAGTATTTCTAGAAGTAGACAGTTGTCAGTTGACAGAGTAATGACAGCTATTCTCAAAAGACACGTGGAACACGTGTATACGAACAAAAAAAAATCCATAAATTGTTTTATACAATGATGTGTTTCATTTTTCAAGCATATAATTTGACATGGCTATAAATCTCAAATTGATGTGAAATTTAACAAAAAAAAAACTTCCACCGTGACAATGTTATTCACATTGCCGTGACCAGGATTCGAACCTGGGTTACTACGGCCACAACGTAGGGTCCTAACCACTAGACGATCACGGCTATTGGAAGAACTGTCTCCAGAACTGGAGAATCGGGCACAAGACTTCTACCAGTAACAATCCTCCAATAATTATATATATTAGGTGTATTTCATTTGATTATATAATAAATCGTATAATATATTAAATTATTTGTACTAAAATAATTGCGTATATTGAGAATAATGTAAGATTTTTAATATAAAAATTAATATTTTGATTGCTTCTGTATATAAATGTTTTTTTAGAAATATTTTTTTATGTATAACATTGAAAAACTAGTATTTTCTGTAATTATTGTATTTACATATTAATTATATTTTACATATTTACGATTTTCTTAGCGCAATTTCGCTGAGTTCAAAGTCTTTAATGATAACATAATGACAATATTTATGCTCGTACAAGTGTAGCATTTATCGTATTGAACTTTGCTTAGTTACAGTTTTTTTATTTTATATATCTTTCGAGAATGTAAATTTCGTCGAAAAGTTAAATCGAAAAAGTCAATATGAACGTTTTAAAACAATGCGAGACAATAGATCTTACAATTAGATTAAGCACAATTTTACATATTTCAATGTTGCGACATTAAATTATGTATTTGCAATTCTATATTACCAAGCGTTTTATCAACATTTTAAAACACCATTTTGAATAAAGATGATAACTATTTAATTAATTACCTATGTATTCATGATTTCCTGCTAACAATTAATTATAATTATTGCCAGTGATGGTATCTTTAGGATTACTACAGAATATTTTAACGTCCGCAATTTCTTCCGAGTTGTGGTCGTACTCATTCTTGAAAATAATGCAATATACAAATAATAGCTTCGTCAATCTCTTTTGCGAAAGAATTATGAGAGAACAGAAACGATTTGTTTTTTAATTGCGTAGCCAATCTTAAATATTATGATTTTTCAATTTCGCGAATAAATTTTTATAAGTCTTTTTCTCAACTTGTCCTTATTTTTGTAGAGCACTTCTTTTCAAGTGATAAATAGCGTCATTTATATTTCTCGCGTACGATAAAATGGGGATAGTAAGCGGCGCTTCCGATCAGATATAATGTTGAATGCTATTGCGATACCTGCGGACAATACCTGATGATATTACGTGTCACCTGAATTGCGTGCAACCAAACGGTAATGCATGACAATCTCTCTCTCTCAATCTTTCTCTGTATCGCCGTGCGTCATTAATGACGTTTAGGTGGCACATATGATTGACTGTGTTCATTTTTTTTACATGCTTTTCCTCTAATGACGCATTAGACAAGTCGGGGTAAGTTACCAACATTAACAGCGAGTATTACGATATACGGATATTACGTGTTAGTATAAAACGACGAGAGAAAGAGAATGACGTAGATCATTTTTATATTAATGTAGACATTAGTGATCTGCAATCGTTTCCTCCATTATTTTTCAGATGAGATTAAAATTTACCTATTTATCGCCATTGTCTCTTTTAGCTTTCTCTTTTTTTGTGGCAAGCGAAGAAGAATCGTATATAATCTGACAGACATCCTTATGATGCACTCTGATCAGATTCAGTCACATGTACTTAACCTTGACTCTAAAAATTTGTGAATCCCAGATTTTTTATTACGAAACGTATTATATAAGATCGTAACCGCCCAGAAGATTTTATAAGAATTTATGAACAACTGCAAAAATCATGTTTGATTTAGATTTTAAATATATTAACAATTCACTATAATCATGCCACCAGAAAATTGAGATTTTCTTCAATTTGAAAAAAAAAAACACACAAAAATATATTAAATCCTGTATGATACACATTATTCTTCCAAATAATTTAAATAATCGATTCAAATTTCTTTCGACATTTATACCTTAACGTCTTACACAAAAAAAAAACGAATAAACCTTTTCGATTTAATTATCTTGTTAATAAAGCTGTTCACTCAGGGCCATCAACTAAAGAGTGAAGTGAAGACCGAAACTGGTATTGCGTAATATAATAATCACAGCGAATACAATTGAAATCGAGGAAAGACGTAAGAGACCATTAATCTTGTACATCTGCGCTTGAAGATAGCGTTGGTTACATGTTGAAATTGTAGTTAAATAAACTGTTGACATGTATGACGTGTAAGGATGTAGTATTCTGGAAGTAATATTCTGGACAAAACATACTTGGCCAAATACGAAATTTGAGATTTTTCGAAAAACATTTATCTAATGTCGAAGAATCCCTTGCTGCAGAACATCGGTATCTGAAGGATTCACTTGTTAGTCATTATTGACCTAAGGTCAGTTGAGTCAAAAGACATACATATTTTTTCTAAAAGATTTTTTCATATTGTATGTTGTTCACGAGAAAGGAGATTTTTTATTAAGGGAATGCGTGAGTTTCTTGAAACTTCCAGGAAAACCACGTCGATCCTCAGGGTCAGTGTATTGGTGGGAAATGCCGGTTCTCCAAGTCTTGGAGTAGTAACGACAGAAGAAAAGTGGGGAGAATACATGATAAATCGTGCTTGGAGTAGGGATTCTGTGGATGTACAAAGGAAATCACGATACTCCACTCAGAGCAGTCAGAGCCGAGCTATTCGGACGTTGCCGCTCCGAGAGGAAGGTGCTCGATCACTATTCGTTGTGTTTCAGTATTTTCTTCTGGTGAGTACTACGCCAAATTTGATCACGATAAATAGATTTGTTTCGCTCGATTCTTCTGAATGACGTTCAGTGATAAGTTTGCCATTTATTCGATTATTCAAGACAGAGAGAGAAACAGAGAGAGAGAAATTGCAGTCTGAATAGATTATATTCGATAATCACGATGCCGAATTTAGCATATAATCACGTTTATCACATCAATTTATGTAATCATGTAGCGATTATGTAATTTCGACGTATAAAATTCCGGGAATTAATCTATGATAATCTTCCTTCGTGTGTGACTTTTTGATACAAAATTTTTATAACTCCTGGATATAAATAGCTGATACCGGTTTAATGAAATATTTGCTCCTACTGGTTTGTGATCTTCTAAGGCCGAAAGGTTAGTGGCAGGGTATTTAAATAAGAGTAATAGTGTAAATAATTTTAAATAAACTGTACAAAGATCTTCAGACTGAAACTATTACATAACTTGCCATTGCGCTATATATCGTATAATTTCGATGCATCATTTATAAAAAAAATCGAATTCATATGATATGAAAACATCTAATGCTTGGAATAAATGGCAAAACATCTCTGTTTTCGCATTACATCTATCAGAGCGCGTTTATACACATAATAAACAAAACAAGGAAAACATTTTTATATGATGACGCATACCCATGCGCATCTTCATTGCGGAAGCATTACGCGAATAACGTTAATTATCTGAGGACATCAAGTGTCCTGGATAATTACGTGGTCAAATTATTGCAACGTATGTATTTCACGTATTTTTAGAAAAGATTACGAGTGTCTTGTTATATTTGAAAGAAAATCTAGTACCTCCTCTGGAATTTATCATTGAGAATTGAAAGAAATTGAATTTTGAATCTTACTATTACTGTTACAATTAAAAAAATTTCTTAAAAGTGGGACAGTAGAATACGATCAGATCGAACATTAATTAATTTTAATTAATGTGTAAAAACCGTTAGCATGACATCATTCATTACAGTTATTTATAATTATAGCAGAAATTCCAATACCACGACTTTGTCAGATAACTGTGTCCAAAGTTTGCATTTTCTTTGTTCTAATTAAAGTTTTTTTCTTCGTTCTGAGCGAGTTTTTTTTTATGACTCGTTATACGCTTATCACGAATTATTAGGATTGTGAAACGCATAATATGATTTTATCTCATATTGCAACAACTCGGGACAATCCCGAGAAAATTACATATATACATATAGTTTACTGATTGTGAAACACATTGAACATATATGTATTATTACTGGTATTCCTACTTTTTTATTATTCCATAATTATTATAACTTTCCAAAATCGTAATTTTTCGCGATAAAAAGGTTTTTATTTATGGAAACAAATTCGATTGTAATAAGATGAAGTATAAAATAGCAAGCTTGTTCCATATATATCACACTTTTTGCGTAGCTTCAAAAAGTTCATCAATGATATTGAGAGTATTTGTACATAAGTATCACACATAAATTTCATATATATCCTCTAATCTATTGATACGTAAACACGTTATCTACATTCAAGTGCATTTTTTTATTCATTGTCAATAATGCTAGTTGATGATAGCCGAGAATTATCGAAGACTAAGTTGCTTCATGTTAATGATTGCACGAAAAACAATGTGATTAAAATCTCACGAGCTACTTAGTATGCATTTATTTCCTTCTCTTTTCTACCTTACAGCGAGGCATTGCTGTGTCATCGCTATTTATAGCCTTGAAAAAGGAGGTATCTCTTCTTTATGATTGCGAGAAGACTTTTGCAATACCAATTCGCAAAATCAATTTAAGTACGACCGTTCCACAACGTCGCATCCAAGATATTACACCCACTTCTCGTATTTGTTTCAGGTAAGACCAACCAAGAGACCTTGGCGTTCATCATGTGGCGACTGGTTTTCGCGTTGACCTTGGTCGGCACGACTTTGGTAACGGCATTGCCCGCGGCGCAACAAGAAGGTAGTCTCGACGATCTCATCAACAAGGCGTTTCCTAGCACTACCCCTCAGTCGGTACCCCAAATAGGCGGCGACCTCGACAGCCTCATCCGAGACGTCTTCAACACCGGAAACGTCAGCACCACCACCTCCAGAAACGTCATCCTCGGCAAAGAGAATCAAACGCCCTCGAAACCCGACGACTGCGAATGCGTGCCTTATTACCAATGCAAAGAAGGCAGAATCGTGGAGAACGGAATCGGCATTATCGATATCAGGTCCGATTTTGGTGATAAGGATAAGCCTCCGGGGTGAGTTTATTGACCAAAGATCGTGAGTCTCGACTGGTTTTCTACCGGATGGCGATGGAATCACGGCATGCTGCGAAATTTTCGTCCGCAGACAGACGTGGACGATTTAATGCTCCGTTTGGTATCGTAAAATCGAGGTTGAATAACTTTAACCACGATTGGTCTCGGTGTTTATGCGATGATAACTAGTAACTTTCTCGTATGCAAGAATCTACTTACATTGATTTCTTCATTTTCAACTAAATTACTAAATTGGTACTGGTATCCCATAATGCACGACTCTATTTTTCTTTATCAAGATGTATTCGTAATGATAATTAATGTAATCTCTTATTTAAGAATGAATATACTTTTAAATTAAAAAAAAAAAGAGAAATATAGTCACATATTTCTTCTGATTTATTTATAATTCTTTTCTGTTTTATAAAGTAATATTGTGATAAAATTTCTTCTTAATAATTTAGTAAAATAAATAAGAGATATTTCTTCATGTTGTTCTAAAGATCGATATTTTTGTAGAGAATAATTCTTAAAAGTGCAAAACATTCTGTTACGAATTTTTGTAATTCTGTCAAGAATTTTCATTATGAATTGATATGAGATGTTATTTATCACTTCATCTATCAATTGAGTCTTGTCTATCATTTGAGTCTTCGTAGTGTACAGTAAATAGTGTCGTCAAATACGGCTATGGCATGGTAGCTACAAATAGTGAAATTGAAACCTATACACGGAGAGTGAGATAAGCGTGTTAGAAGGAAGAGCAAAAGCGTTGTCATGCCGATGTTGCTAAATGAGATTCTTTTTGTTATGCGATATCCGGTTCTCGACACAATGTTGCACATTCATAAATGACGTAATTAAATAATTACGTAAACGTAATTAAATTCCGTATGGCGTATTGACACTTGCTGAAAGTATATATTGCGTTATAACATTCAAAAACGTGACGTTCCAGTTGATACAATAGTGAAACATTTTCATTATTGCAATTGAAGTTGCAGATCAAGTTGGGAAACCAAAACATATAATTAAAACTCGGAACGTGACGTGTATCACAATCAAAATTAATTACTCCGGAATCGGAAGTCGGGATTTGCGATTAACTTCCGCTAAAAATACTCTCCGTGTATAGCGGAATCTGTAGATATATCAATATACGTACGTATACAGATATTTTTATCTTGCTCAGATTTATTAAATATTCTTTTCGATGGTTTTCAATTTAAATGGTTGATTGTTTTTAGCATGCCGCCTCACTATTCCGCATGAGACTATCTTTGGACAATAAAATACCTCTGGAATCGCCAATAAATAATATAAATAATATATCCTTATTCTAAGCACAATTTTACTTAATGGATAATTAAGTCGGAGAAGGAATAATTCGCGGAAATCACAATTGCTTCTCTCTTAATAATCATTTAATGATTACTTAATGTCTAAATTGTTTTACGGTCAATATCGTTAAACTCATATTTTATCTGAAGAAAGAACTTTAAATTGACAGTACAAGTTTAAATCGATTTCTTAGTATTTAACGGATTAAAAAGAAGTAATTTAATTGTCAAAAAAAGTATAATGTGATGCATTTAAAATGCCATCAATTAAAAATTTTAACATTTAAAAGTACAAGATGCAAAATTTGTATCATTAATTTTTCTTAGATATAGTTCAAATCATTTTTTTTCTATTAATATTCTATTTACGCGAATAAATGATTGTGTTTATATTCTATGTATTATAAAATTAATTAAGATAATTGAGTCTCACGTTTTCACGATCATATTGTGGGATATTTAGAGGCCTTGGGCCATGCGACAATTATTTGGATGTTTGCTGCAAACCGCCGGATCTACAGCCACCAGTCACGCCTCCACCAGAGACTAGAATCGGATGTGGACAGCGACATGCTGAAGGGGTTGGCTTCAGGATCACCGGCCAAACCGATAATGAGGCCCAATTTGGAGAATTTCCGTGGATGGTGGCTATTTTGAAGGAAGAGGCCATCGGCGAGAACGGCCAGAAATTGAATGTTTATCAGTGTGGCGGAGCTCTTATCCACAAACAGGCCGTTCTCACTGCGGCTCACTGTGTCAATGGGTTAGTAGCCGGCTTGCCGTGAAAATCTTTGCAAATAACATTTTTATAAATACTTATTATATAGCCTTTCTTAATAAAACTTAATTAAGTAATTGATATTTCAAGTATGTTCAAGTATCAGAGTGTGGATAAATGTCTCTCGTTCACGTTCGAACGTATAGAAATAGACAATAGACACTATTTAGTATTTATAATTTATAATTGCTCGTTATTTAATTTAATAATGTATTCCGATCAACAGGAAGCAACCGCACGAGCTAAAAGTTCGCGCTGGAGAATGGGACACGCAGACGAAGAACGAGATCTATCCGCATCAAGATCGCGACATCGAGAAAGTCATTGTTCACGAGGGATTCCATTCGGGTGCGCTCTACAACGATTACGCTATCCTGATCCTGAAGACTCCGGTCGATTACGCGGAGAACGTTGATATCGTGTGTTTAGCGGATTTGTATGCGAACTTCGACGGATCCAGGTGCTTCGCCAGCGGATGGGGAAAAGACGTATTCGGTACGTTTTTTGTATGTTTGCAATGTGCGAAAGAACTAAATCTCTCAATAATGTCTCTAACTTGACAAATTAATTTATTGGCTCTCTTCAACAATTATGATCGTTGAAGATCGATAATGACTTAGATCGGCCTCAATATGCAAGTGATGTAACGATTTCATTTAGCGATATTTAATTACAGGTAAAGAGGGACGTTACCAAGTGATTTTAAAGAGGGTGGAGCTTCCTGTAGTGCCGCATAATACCTGTCAAGACATTATGCGTACCACCAGGTTGGGAAAATACTTCCTTCTAGACAGAAGTTTTATCTGCGCGGGTGGGGAACTAGGAAAAGATACCTGCAAGGTAAATTTCTGAGATAGAGAGAAATTCTTTAAATCCTAGAGATTCTTCAAACCCTAGAAATTCTATGAAATTTGTCTTATTTTCATGTAGCAATATATAGTTAACACAGTATCTCGACGGCATTCGGAGATACAAAATTTTGAAGACTTCAAAATTTCTTTCGAACCGAGATATCTAAATCCGAGAAACCTATTCCTACAAAAGCTGCGTGATAAGATTCAGAGTCAAATTTTTTCTAACTTTATTGCGTCTATAATTATATTTAATTATTATTATTATATCTAAAAAGAAGAAAAGTACAAACTGTGGAGCAACTGTGGAAACTAATTTGTACAAGATTAAGTAATGACAAGATAAGAGCTCCGCCACATTGATCAACTTTCAATTTCTGGCCTTTTCCTTCAAGATAACAACTATTTTCTTATAATTTTCCGTGAAGAAGTTTTTCCTGTTCATTTTTATTTTTGTATGCTATTAGATAAAAGAGTGATTTTTCAATTTCTTCATTGCAGGGCGACGGTGGAAGTCCCCTCGTGTGTCCGGTGAAGAATGATCCAACTAGATTCGTTCAAGCTGGCATCGTAGCCTGGGGACTTGGCTGCGGCGAGAACGGAACTCCCGGCGTTTATGCTAACATAGCCCACGCCCGTCGATGGATCGACGAACAAATGGCCTACCACAATCTAGACAACAGCGTCTATCAATATCCCAACTAATCATTTTCACCCGTGCCATTATTAAACACGCGAATTTCTTTTTGATTCTGGTAGATCATTTGTCATAGATCCCATTGATATTTAAGTGAATTCTTTTACGTCAAATGATTCTACATTGAGAACAAATTTAATGTCTGATAAGCTACACATTGACAGTCAACATAGAATTCCGTAAATCTCTCTAATGTTAAGACGTTCAATCAGCGTTATGTTCGTAATTTGAATTAGTCGTTCAAAAATGACTGTTGATTTGTGTATGTGACAAAAAATGAATAATCATTGTAAAAAATAATGTATGGCATTTTGTATGTAACACACAAGCGAATAATACATTTTTATTAAAAACAAGAAGACAGTAAGACAATTAAGCTCATTCCCTACTGAAACCTTGTAAGTTTAATATCTTCTAATTCTTAACTATTAATCAACTATGTTGATTTGGTAAATTGTAAAATGTAATACTTCCAATTTTTTTGTAAAATGATTATAAATTCTTCATAAAACTTTAAATTTTTAAACTTAACCATTTCGTATATAAAAATATTAATTATAATTATAATTAACATTAAATATTAATTTGTAAAAAATATTAGCATTATAATTTAGTGAAGTTTATTATGCAACTACGAGTGATTTATTTATAAAAATTAAATTTTTTCTAATAATTTGATTGAAAGAGGTGGACTGATTCCTGGTAATCAATTGTTTATCAAATTTAAACTTAAAGTGGAATTTTTTTTTTGGATATTTTTAAATTATTATTTATTCAATAAAATTTAGAGAATTCGAAGTACTATTAAAGATAAAAACACATTTGTAGAAACATTTGTAGAACTTTAAAATCTCAGTGTGTTCACACGTAATGACGGTAAACTTGTTAAATAATAAATTCATAAATAAATATATGTAAAAATATAAATTTTTTCAGTTATATACTTTCATGACCTATTAATTTTTTCATATATAAAATAAAAATTATAAAAATTTAGAACTGCGTAAAACGATTATGTAATCATATAATGTTTTTCTGTATTACACAATAAAATAAATTTTAATGAACTTTTTTATTTGCCTCGTATTCACATTCGATAATGTAGATTTAGTAAAATCGTAAAATGTAATCAAAAATTAATTATTTTATATTAATAAATTAAAATTAAATAGAAACGATAGGCTTCAATTTACTAAATTAATATATACAATTCAATATTTGCATACATCTCAATAAAGTGAATTATAACTAATTAAAATAAATAGCTATTTATTAATGCACGAAACAAGAAAATAATATCCAACATATTTTATCAATCTGTACTTTTAAACACATACGGTACGTAAACAGAAATTAGTTTATTTTATGTAAATTGTATATATGCAATAAAATAATTTCTCATTTGTACGAGTTGCATAATAGCTTACAAAATTCTTGTCTCATTTATTTTTCCAATTTTTGATATTCTGAGATATTACCAGAATGAGAAAAACAATTATATCCAAATAATAATAAATAATAATGTGAAACAGAAAAATTCTTTCAATATTTTAAAGAATTTTTTTGAATTTTTTTATAAATATTATTGTGAATATTCGAATAGCTGCAACAAAAAGTTGTTACAAAAACTTACAAAGTTGGGACATAACAGCAGACATATCGGTGCATATAAAAGGATCTTCCTGAATGGTAATTTAGAAGTTTGTGCTGCAACAAACGTCGTTTTTTTTTTTAATATCTCAGCGCGAAATCTTAAGTTATGTTAATCATTTGTTATGCTTAATACAAACATTTAGTCACGACAAATCTGATTTATACTAAATTTATTCTTAAATTCTGGAAGCATAAATCTTACATGCGCACAAATTTTCAATTTTTAATCAAGAGTAATGGCCAACCTTTCGTCCGTTTATATAATTTGCATATATCACGTGATATTTTTTATTTATCAAGTGATATCTATATAAATGAAATGACGATGCATCGACAATTTAGTGTCTCAAACAAGCCTCAACTGTGAAAACCTGCAATGGCTCAGCTAACACGCATCGCTTTGATTATTGCTATAAACGCACTGATGTGCGTTCTCGCAAAAGAAGAGCTGAATTCTGACCAATTTGAGAACTTTGATGTTCTAAGTATTCTTCGAAATAAGACATTATTAGATGAGTATTACAATTGCTTTATGGAAATAGCACCATGCAAGACATTAGAACAGCAAAGATTAACAGGTATAGCTATACATACATACTTTCACTAAATTACTTCTTTCTTCTTTCGCAAAGAATTTTTTTGATCAACACAAAATAGACTTTTCCTTAACGATAACGAGATATATTTATAGTTTTCAAATAAATCTATGACATCTATCAAATAAGAGACTCTTTTGACCACTGCCGAGATCGATACTATTAAAGACCATCGATCCTAGATAAATTTTCGTGATCATCAAAAGGGCCTGAGAAGTAATGAAAAATATCAATATTATTGATTATTGATATGAATTTAATTTAAATTTAGTATGCATACTTATAATGTTGTAATATCATATAGATTGCCATAAAATTATAATTTTTTCTTCTACTGTTATCATTTTTATAATAAAACGCGGACTAACTATAAAAATGCAGTTTTAAATAAAATTAATTATTGGCAAATTATAATTCTATATACACGTCTAAAAACATTGATTTAATAATAAATCATAAAATTTATATCAATTGTTATTGACTAATTGTTTAAATTTTAACAGCCACGCCACTCTTATAAGAATATTAGTTTTTAATAGTATCTCGTTGATGTTTTGACGAGCTAAACATCAGGAGAGAAAAACAAATGACAAAATAAAATTCTCTTCAGTTACCTTTAGATTTTATCTTGACAAAAATTTAATGTGTTGCTTAATTATAAGTAAATATAATTTTTAAAGTTGAAGAGAGTTGTACAGAGGTTGAACAACGACATGCGGGTCAAATGTTCGACAAATTAAAAGGTTACTTTTAACAGTTAATTTTGTTTCGTTCAAAAATAATTCAACTTAAATAGAAAATTCTGCGTGCCAAAAATTTATTCGGTGTCGTTATGGATGATTGGTTTCTTAGAAATATGAAAAACAAAATTAATTTATTTTCCTTTTATGTACACCTTTTTTTGTGTGTTGTTCTCAAATTCGACTTTCTGAATATATCATGTGTTTTCGTTCTACCGTATTTAAATTAACAAATATACATTTAGTAATCAGTATATATATATTTGCTAAAGTTAATAATTACTGAAAACTGATAAGAGAAAATATCCTCTTGATTTCAGCGGCATTCGGAGAAGCTTACCGAACTAAATGCAGGAAATGTACTAAAAAGCAAATAGAAATTCTCAACACAATAACCGACTGGTACAACCTGCACGAACCCGAGAAATGGCGGCTAGTAGTTGAAAAGACTGTAAACGACTTAAAGAAGAAGTACGCTAACGACCAATAACTTACAATACTATAATTGATTTGTAATATGATAACTCAAATACTATTTGTAATAATAGGGCTACAGGAACATTTTTGTACAAGTCATTTTGACTAACGTGCAATTTGTATTACATATTAACAGAAATATATTCTTATAGAAAAATAAACAATAATATATTTGATTGTAAACTGGCTGTAAATTATTAATTAAACTCGAGTGGAGAAATAAATTTCCTTTAAAAAAAATATTACAAAAAACATTTACTGCATGTGATCATTTATAAAATCATAGATATTGACAGAATAAATATCTATCGATTTATCGTGTCCTAGACATATTTTCGTCGAATTAAAATTATAAATATTTAACCATTTATCAATCAATTGTTCATCTCTAGCATATACATGTATATAAAAATTTTCAGGAAACAATATTATTTTCCTCTAATCACGACTTGTTCAAAATTAAATGAGAATAATATAAATACAATTTAATAAGAAAATACTAAAACATGTATTTTGCAAGAAAATTTTAACCAACTCCAGATTATTCACGATTTTATATAATATTTATAGACAAATAAAAAAGTATTTCTCTTCTTAACATTGACGCTCTCTTCAACTGCTAGTCACAATGTTTAAAAAGAAGCCATTAATGTACAACGTCTTATACATTTATATCTTATTTTTTATATAATGCTTTTTACATTTACATTAATATTCTATTTTATGTAATATCTTTCGATATCGAAATGTACAAAAAAACTTCAATATACAAAGTACCTATAACTACAGAGATTGAGTATACTTGAAAATTTTCCAACTATATGTATTTTTAATTTGACATTTTATATAAGATTTAATTGGGTTAAAATGAATTAGTCCGAAAAGGCCCTACACCACCTCCATTGATTATGATCAGCGATCCTCTTTTGTTCCAAGTAACAAGCTAATACCAATATGATGACAAATAATGTTAGTTTGTTACTTGGGTGGTATGTATTTTGTTAAGGTTACATACATTTGTATTTTATTTCTTATAATACATTTTGATATCAAAATGCGCAATATAAAAGTTTCAATACATACATATATAAGAAGTATAAAATCATAACATCATAACGACAGAGATCGAGTATACTCGATAAGTTTTTCAATTATGTATTTTTAATTTAAAATTTTATATAAAATTTAACTGGACTAAAACAAATTAGCCAGTAAATTAAGGTCCTCCACTGCGCGTACTTCGATCTAACATGCACATGTTATTTTTTAAGCATAATGACTACACCATCTCCAATCTAGTACATCTATATCTATGTATTAGCACTACCAAATATTAAAGTTACCAATTACTACAAAAACATACACATGTATCGCGGTGATCGCGGCCAACAAAGAATATCGCGACCACTGCGCGTACTTCGATCTAACATGCGTATGTTATTTTTTAAACATAATGATTACACCAAGTATGTAATCATAACATCATAATGACAGAGATCGAATATACTTGATAAATTTTCCAATTATATATTTTTAATTTGAGATTTTATATAAAATTTAATTTGGCTAAAACGAATTAGCCAGTAAAAGGCCCTCCACCACCCCCGCTAATTAAATTAACGGTCCTCTTTTGTCCA